GTGCATCATTGAATCTTCATCTTCCTGCAGGAGATGACACTAAGAGAAGCTCACAACTGGCCAACATACAGAGAGTAGGAGACATGGGAATGCTCAGACCTAATCTAGTACAACAGATGAGATGCATCTTCATGTGTCCCTCTCCCGGCTCAGGTTAGCTACTAGGAACAGAAGGCAGAAAGATTTAAGAGGTGGTAGACAACTTCAGGGAAACTTTTCTAGACACAGCAGAGTAGATACACGTATGAAAAACAGAGATTGTGAGAGCATGCACAAGGCCAGCCCAAGCTGAATCCAGACAAAAATCCCAGCATGGAGGAGAGCAGGGGGCACGAAGCCAACTCTAGCTGAGGAGCTATTGGCATTTGATTGCTGCTGGGACCAAGAAAGTCAGTTTTCTCCAAGGAGTGACACCGTATATATCAACCCCTCCCCAGGCAAAGTCCTTTGCCCATGAGTAGTCTGCTGACATGAACTGGACTCCTGTTGTGTTGTAAGAAAGAGAAAGAATATGAACGGAGATGGAGGATGATCTGGGAGGAACTGGAGGAGGGGAATGGGTATGATAGAAATACACTGTATGAAATTCTCAAAGATTAACTAAAAAACATAATTTTTTTTTTCTGAAACAGGGTCTCGCAAAGTAGCTATAGCTGTCCTGGAATTTACTATGTGACCAGGCTAGTCTTGAACTCACAGAGATCTACCTGCCTCTGCCTCCTGAGTTGATTGCATTAAAGGCATGAAGGCTGGGTCACTCTACCGGGCCTAAAAAAAAAAAAAAGTTTTAATAAAATAATTGTTTAAAAAAGAAAAGAAAAACATTTGTAACTTTGCATTCAGACTTACCAATTAATAAAAATTATACCAAGCATCAAGAAAAAGAAAGGCAACTTGAGGAGGACCTCCCCTATCAGTGGACTTGGGGAGGGGCATGGGTGGAGTAGAGGGAGGGAAGATGGGATTGGGAGGGAAAGAGGAAGGAAGGTACAGATGGGCTATACAGTGAATAAACTGTAATTAATAAAAAATTAAAATTAATTTTAAAAAGAAAGGCAACTTAATAGCTATAGAAAAAGATCATAGTCCTAACATGAGGAGCAAAATAAAACATTGAAGCCGGTAAGAGTCACAGTTCACAAATTCAAAAAATACTTCAACTGCTATGTGGAAGACAAGTGCCTCTTCCAGCACTGCTTGGTCCTGGGAACCTGTCTGGGGCCTGAGAATGAAGAAAGAGGACCGAGAGGCACATGTGTGGAAAAGCAGGGGTTGGGCGGCTTGTGTTCTCCCTGCTGCTATGTAGCAGAGCCAGAACCGAAGCTGTTCACTTCCGTACAGCACAGCTAGTCCACATGTAGGCAGCTGTAAACACTGGGAGAAGGAAGCTGTGGTCGCTAGCTTTTGTACAACATCCATATGGGACCAGAGGCTTTCTTTGCCAGTTCCCATGGTTCTGAGGCATCGGTTCCCATCAATAATACACATTCACCTGGGACTTCATCCATGCCTTTAACATTCACTTGATGCTTCCTCTGATCTCCCAGAGAGAGGTAGCTCTCAGACCAAAACACTGAACTGTTTTTCCTTGCTGAAGTGCTTGAGGTTGAGCCCAGGTTTGCTCCAATGTTAGGCAGGTGCTCTACCAGTGAGTTACATTCTCATCTTCCAAAATTAAATATCATCGGCACAGGTTACTCAGATGTCTGCCCTGGCAGTGCATAGAACCTTTACTGGGTGCTCCGGCTGCCTCCGCCTTGTAGAGCGGGACATATTAATATGTATCCCCCAGGCTCTCCTCTACCTGAGCACTCAGTGGAGCCTCTTGCCACTTCCCAGAGTGTTTCCAGAAACTTCCCCATAAACCCCAAACTTCACCTGTTCTCTCACTGTCCAGGGACTCCCCTGGCCAGGTGGAGGCGTTGGACCTGTTGAGGAGTGCCATTACTTGTACTTCATTCTTCAAAGTATATAATTTCTCTAACAACCTCAGAATTGGGGAAAATAAAAGCTGAGGAAGGAAACTTACTTCTGTCAACATCTCACCTGAAGTAAAGTCTCTTTAGTGTGGGAAAGGAAAATGGGGCAACAGTGAGCCTGGGAAAGTAATTCGTGAGCATCTCGGAATAGGGTCTAACACAATGTCCTTATAGTGCAGTTTTTTTTGTGCCATTTATTTGTGACAGGGTTTCATGTGACCCAAGCTGGCCTCAAACATAACGTGTAACAGAGAGTGACTTTACACTCCTGGTCCTCTTGACTCTGCCTTCCCAGCTCTGAGATTAAAGATATGAACCACCACCCGTGCAGGAAGCTTTTAAGTCATTAGTCAAAAAAAAATTTTTTAATGTTTTCTCAGCCCTCTCAGTAGCATAGGTTTGTGCTTTGCACTTTCTTAGGCAATAAGCACTGTGGCCTATTCCCCAGCATCCCTCTACCCCATGATTAATTCTCAAAGTTTATGGCAACTTGCACCCTGGTTGGGGACGGCTTCAGGGTTGGACAAGCTTGAGCCACTCTGAGTAGCGGGATTCTCTAAGATCTTTGTTAGGGTCTCTGAAAAAACACCTTTCTGCATCTGGAATGCCATGGAAAGCAAGCTGTTTCCTCTGTACATTAGGAGGGAAGGAGCAGAGTTCCTGCTATGGCTTTCCTGCCTGCGCAGTGCAGCAGAGAAAGCGAGGAGGGCAGGGCCAAGTACACAGGACCTGGTCCTTGAGGCCATCACTCACTGCTGGCTCCTACTCTCACCATTTATCATTTAAACCAAGTGGAGAGGATTTTCTGTTACTCCTTGCTCAGTTCTTACTGTCAGAATCAAGACGTGGTGCCAGGAATAAAAGCAACAGATTGTATGGATTGTAAAATGCTTGTAGTGAGCTGTACACCTCCTTCTTCTGCCCAGATGTTTCTTCATGCTAGCTCCAAAAACTGTGACAGTTGCCTTATTTGGGAAGAGTTTAGAGAAACAGCTAAAGTCATATTTATCTTCAACCTCAGCCAGATGTTGATGAAACATAAAGACATTTTGATTTTAAATAATCATATTGGACCTTTATTGCATAAGGAGTCATGATTATTGCAGTTAATCATTGTTGTTGGGACTGGTGGCACATGTCTGTAATCACAGCACTCTGGGAGCAAAGGCAGGAGAATCATGAGTTTGAGGCAATAAATATTGAATGTTAGAGTAGTTGGGTGTGGTGCCACACACCTTTAGTTCCAGCACTTGGGGAGGCAGAGGCAGGTGGATCTCTGTAAGTTCCAGGCCAGCCTGGTCTACACATTGAGTCCAGGACAGCCAGGGCTATTACAAAGAGCAAACTGTCTCTAAAACAAACAAACAAAAAAAGAAAAAAAAAAAAAAAAGAAAGTTATAGCAAGTTCAAGGCCAGACTGAGCTCTTAGTGAGGCTCCAACTGAAAATTGGTGGTGGAATGATTGGCCAGAATGCTCAGGCTCTCAATTTGATACACGGTATCTCAAAAAAAATTTTTTTTTTCTTTTCAGAAAAGCAAAAGCACATGGAACCTAGAAGTTCACAGCTGTTTTTTTAAAAAATATGTTATTTAGTTTATTGACTTATTTGAAGATGTTACAGTTAATCTTCTGTAGCTGGAAAAATAAATCTGGATACGTGAGTTCTGTTTGCTTGCCAACAAAGCTGGGGATCTTGGGTAAATGACTTCCCACTCTGAGCACAGTGGCTGCTTCTCCTGCAGGACTATCAGCAGCTCCAGGTGCATAGGTACATTTAGGTCCTTGGTACACAGTTCATAGTTCTGGGCTCTGCCTCAAGCCTACTGAATCAGACTTTCTAACACTGGGGTTCATGTGAAGTTTTTGTTTGTTCCCTGAGGTCTATTTGTTTCTTGAGACAGTGTCTCATTTCATAATCTATCCTTCTCTTGAACTCACAACAATCCTGCCTCAGCCCCACAAGTGTTGGGATTACAGAATGAGATACCATGCCCAGCTTCCATGTGTATATTTTTAAAGATTTATTTATGTTATATGTATAAGTGTCTTTGCCTGCATATACATAGGCACACTATATACATGCTTGGTACCTGGGGAGGTCAGAAAAGGGCATGAGATCCCCCGGAACTGGAATAATGGATGGTTGTGTGATACCATGAGGATATTGGGAATCTAACCCATATCCTCTGAACGACAAGTGTTCTTAACCTCTGAGACATCTTCCAGCTTCCATATGCATTTTAATTAATTGAGTGATTATGATAAATTTCCAAATTTGGGAACTATTGCCTTGTAACTCCAGGGTCCTTCTAATTTTCATTTTCTGGCTTCTGTCTCTTCTATTGTTGTCCTATCTCTGCTGCTAGCTATTGTAATAAAATAAAAACAAAGGATAAACAATAAAAAAAAAAACCAAGATCATTATTTCCTCCTCTTCCTCCTATACCCCCAGAGCTTCAGTACCTGGTAGATAGGAAGTATTCAATAAATACTTGAAACGTTAATCAATGGTGGTTAAAGAGGTGAGTGTTATATGGATCCCAATAACCTACAGGTAGAAAAAATGCAAAGAAAGGGAAACTATTTAGAACATTTTCTGGATATGCTTTGGCAGTTCTGGCCAACATATTACATGTTTCATATATTTACAAACCAATGCCTATTTAGAGGGCTGTAGGAAGGGGCTGAGACTCCCATGGGCTAGATCGCCCCATGGTGTTTTACAGAGGTGGCAGCAGCTTCTTGTTCAACAGGAGTCAGCTTTTTTTCTCCTTGACTTTTCCAGGGCCACTTGTACCTGCCTTGTGGGATGACTTGAAGCCTACGCAGCAACTCTAAATCAACAGGGGTGGCATCAGCTTTCTAGAGGTCCCAGCAGAGGGGAGGAGACATAGCCTGCCGTGGGTGGCAGGTGAGCATGGTGTTCTTGCCCACGAGATATTTAATAATGCCTCTTGTGATTCCATAGCTTTCTTGCTCGCTCCCCTGAGCCCCTCTGGCCACCCCTTGAACTCCTCAGTTCAAATACAGTCTGCAGGCCTTGGCAAGTATCTGCTCAGGATGAAATCTGTCACACAGGTGGGAAACTTAGCCAGGGGGATGTAGAGGAACTTGACATCCAGACCAGGGTTGTAGCGAGTGCGGGGGCACCTAGAGACAATAGCGTGCTCCATACTGTTGGTGACATCGCTGATTCTCGTATGTGCCTTGTCCATCAAGTTAACCAACTTTTCAGTATCTGTTTGAGACATTAGGGGTGAAAGGAAATAGAACATAAGCCTTTGTTGTTATTATTATGTAATGTGCTTTTTTCCTGAATTCTATCCAAGCTCTCTGTCTCTCAGAAGTTTGTTTCAGTGTTTAAAACTTGCACAGGGTCTTACCTAAACACCCCTGTACAGGATCATCAGTATCATTTCTCTTTCTAAACACTAGAAGTGCAACATTTTGGATTTGGGCCTTTGAGAAAGAGTTTATATCTTGAGTCACAGATCTCTACTATCAGCACCTGGGCTTTGCCCCTCGGCTTTTCTGTTCTCTTTTCCTGAGAAGGCCATGGCTGAAAGGGGAATCTTTGAGGCTCAGCAGGGTGGAGATGAAACAAGAAATCCAGTTAACAATCTGTTGGTCCTCAGCTCCCCCTTAACCCATTTGGCTGCAGTCTATCCTGGATCCATCAGTGCAAGAGCATTGTCCTCTATTCTCATGCCTGCTCTGGTAACTGTGCACCACTTTAATATGAGTAATGCCAGGAAACCTGGAGCCTGCTCCTGGGTTTTAAAACCAGGGGCCTGTGGGGTTTTTTTTATGCCACATACAGGCACTGTATTATCCTCCTAAATACTTCTCCTGTCTGTGCCCTGTCCCCAGACTACCAGGACTGTCACTTCAGTTCCATTATGATTATCAGCAGAGCCTCTAGTATCTCTGCTGATGCAAAATATCCAGGAAAACACGTCACTGAGGATAAGCTCACAGTCCTGGGCAGTTTCAGGCCTACCGTGGATTTGACTGACTATCTGACTTACATTGTTGTAGTTAGGCAAGGCTAGGACTTCAGCAAGTGAGGTAAGAGGTCTTCAGGCTTCTAAGAGCCTTTGAAGGGAATTGTGCTGAGACCATAGCCCCTTTTTCTGTCTCTCTTTTGCCACCCCAGCCACAGAACGAAGCCCTCCCCCTCTGCCATGAGTGCCTGATGTACTGCCCCAGTGTAGGCCGAAAGCAACAATAAAGTCAACTAATCGTGGACTGAAAATCCTCAGAGGAAGCCATATAAACCTTTTCCCTTTCTGTGTCTATTATCTTAGTGATTTGTGGCAGTAGCAGAAAGTGATCACCTTAAACATCTTCTGAGTATTATATTTTACAAACTCGTTCCTTTGGATTTGGAATCATTTTTATTTGTTTTTGATACCAGGTTTTACTTTGTAGCCCAGGGAGGCCCCAAATTCACTATGTAGCTCAAGTTGGTCTGTTGCTTTAGCCTCCTATGTGCTGAGATTACAGATTCATACCACCTGCACCTTTGAATAATATTCTTTTGTTGTTGTTGTTTTTGTTATTGTTTTTTGAGACAAGGTTCCTTTGTGTATCCCTGGCTGTCCTAGAACTTGCTCTGGATTCCAGGCTGCCCTCGAACTCACAGTCTCCACAGTGCTGGGATTAAAGGTGTGCACCAACACTGTCTGTCTGAATTCTCTAAGGATCTCTCTACAGCTTGCAGGTACCAGTGTAATGGAGGAAAGGAGGCCATATTTTAATCTAAGGGAAGATAATGACAAGAACTACAAGATTTGAATTCAGATTGTTCTTACAAGGATCAAGTGTTTCTGTGTATATGTGTGTGTGTTTCTATGTGTGTCTATTTGTGTGTGTGTGTGTGTGTCTGTGTGTGTGTATGTCTATGTGTGTGTATCTATGTGTGTTTGTGTGTGTGTATTTGTGTCTGTGAACTGAATTCTTACTGTAACTCATCACACATGAAAAAACTGAGAGGTTAACTCTCTTTCTAGCAGACAGTTGAAACCTGCACCTGGATAGCTTAGCTCTGAGCTTAATAGCACACAAAACAGGAACACAGGCTGCTGACTTCCAGAGGGAGTGGTATTAAAGCAGATGCTGAGACTCATAGCCAAACATTGGGCAGAGTGAAGGGAATCTTATGAAAGAAGGGGGAGATAGAAAGACCTGGAGGGGACTGGAGCTCCACAAGGAGAGCAACAGAACCAAGAACTCTGGGCACAGGGTTCCTTTCTAAGACTGATACTCCAACCAAAGACCATGCATGGTAATAACCTAGAACCCCTGCACAGATGTAGCCCATGGCCAGCTCAGTGTCCAAGTGGATTCCCTAGTAATGGGAACAGGGGCTCTCTCTGACATGAATTCAGTGGCTGACTCTTTGATCACTTCCCCCTGAGGCAAGGGACAGCCTTACCAGGCCACAGAGGAAGACAATGAAGACAGTCCTGATGAGACCTGATAGGCTAGGGTCAGATGGAAGGGGAGGAGGACCTCCCCTATCAGTGGACTGGGGGAGGGGCATGGGAGGAAATGAGGGAGGGACGTGGGATTGGGAGGGGATGAGGGACGGGGCTACAGCTGATATACAAAGTGAATAAATTGTAATTAATATTTTTTTTTAAAAAAAGACAGCCTTGTCTGCCAGAGAACAGCAACAACAACAAAACTTTGAAAGAGGAAAGGACAACAACATGGAACAAGCCATGCCCAAGCCCACAAGCATCAGAGCCTGGACCTGGAGTAGGCAGACTGGCTCCAGCCCACTAGCTAGTTGTCACTTTGCTATTCTATTCTCAGTGCATTCTGACAAGATCTACCTGCACCTCATAGTTGGCGGACAAGTAACCAGGAGCAGGTGGCCTCCCTCAACACACCGGGACACACTGGGACCTTTCCTACCAACATGGCCCCTGCTACTTGGGCTCTAATCTCAAACTCCAGCTTTGCTACTGGCTGTATGTTGGATCTCTGGGGCTCCATATCATCATCTACAACCAGCCAGCAACCCCAAACCTCCAGATCTTCCCCATGTCTGCCTGGAGACTCACATTCTCTGTAATAGTCTTCTCCGTAGCTGTCCCTGGTCTCCTGTGGTAGCCGATCCCACAGCTTCTTCATGCGAGATTGCAGAGCTTCTTGGCCCAGAATGGATGTCTTGTAGTTCCCTGGCTCAATGATGCAGACCTTCACCCCAAAGAAATGGAGCTCGCGCCTGTAAAATTAAGAGTTGCATTTGGTCTAGCCTCATAGTGACGGGCATCAAGAGACACCTTTGAAAGGAGGGAGCTTCCGGGGCCTGGAGGTGTTCACCCCACCGTAAGAGCTAATCTAAACATTGCCTTCATGCCAGTAAGCGCTCTTTGGGGCTTCAGTACTTTCCCAAACTGATCCAGTTGTCTGGGGCAATTTGCATTAGGCATAAACAACAGGAAGCCATCAAAGAATCTAGGCCAAGGCCTTGGCTCCTCCCACGTTCTTTCCACTCAGCAGCCATGTGACAAAAGGAATAAGGGGATCTGTAAAAGGTCTGCATCTTCTGAGGGGCTTCCAGACACACCTGTGCTCCAGGCCTTCCTCTGTTTGGAGTCTCTCTCTCTGTGTGTCTCTGTCTGTCTCTCTGTCCAGCCCTTTCCCTGTCTTCCTTCACCCTCCTCTCCTTCCCCTACAGGCCTCTCAGGTCTTTCCTCACCCTGGGACCACCCAAGGGAAGACCCACCTGATGTCTTCTATATCCTCATTCCACGTGGCCTCCGCATCACTTCTCTCTGTCCTTGGAGAAGGCTCTAGCTGCTGTTTTAGCTTCTTCTCCCCGGAACTACCCTGCCTCACCCTGTCGCTCTCAGGCCCCCTCTACTGTGGTAAAGCCCCAAGACCCCCACCCGGTTTGGTACCAGGACCCAGTCACCTGATGCTATCAGAGAAGGCTTCAACACCAAACTTGGAAACACAGTAGCCGCCACCAATGACGGCCACACGGCCACCAGAACTGGACATGTTGACCACCCTGCCACGGGCTTTCTTCACCATAGGCAGCATGTTCAGGGTGACTTCAATAAGCCCCACCAGGTTCACATTAATCACTTTCACAAAGTCTTCCTTGGTCAGCCATTCATTGGGACCACTGGGCAGGGCTATACCGGCATTGTTCACAAGGGCCCAGAGGCCTAGGGTAAGAGAGAAAGGCAAAGAGAATCACACAGGAATCAGCAAAATCTCTGAGAAGGTTCCAGAGGCCAATAGCCAACAGCTCAGTGCCCAAGGATGGCTGATCAGATGAGCAACACAAAGGTCAGTGAGCAGATACACTCAAGGATGGCATGGCTTGGGACAGCCAGGGGTGCTATAGCAAACAGGAGATCAGCGTGTTCCGTGTTCCTGATGAGACACTTTCCACCCTGATCTTGTGGTCTGCGAATTAAATCAGACTCTGTTCAAGCTATAACCCAAGGTGGTGCAACCAGTGGCACTGAAGCCGTGGGGTCTGGGGTAAGAGACCCCACTCTCCTACAAACATATTAATGCCTGCATTCTCACACCATTCATGCATTCTTTACGCTTCTAAGTAGAAAAAAGTTCTAGTTCACTATTACCAAACCAGTCCATCCATTCATTCAGCTAGCAAACTTCATTCATTCATTTATTCATTCATGCATGCATGCATGCATTAATTCATTCACTCTGTATCTGTTCTGTGCCAGTTACTAAGCAAAGAACATGTAAAGTGAATAAGTTGAGGTCTTACACCTCCAGAAGCTCAGCGACCAGAAAGAAAAGTGTGGTTAGAATATTTATAGATAAATGCATAAGAACATTTGTGGAAAATGTTATCTCTTTAAATTAGATAGAGAGGACTGGAGAAAAAGAGTGTGGTTACCCAGGGCCTCAGGGTTGATGAACCTCAGGTTCTAAGTCTGGTTCAAGCTCCAGCCTTGGACAGATCTCTTCCCTCCTTTGCCTTGGGTTTTTCATAATAATAAATAATAATTTTGGTCCCAAATAATGCTAGGATAGTTGTTCCCAAAGCCTGCTAGGGGATAGGGTTAGGATAGCATCACTCCTTTCATTTGTTTTATATATTGAGCTTTTTAGTGAAATTCCACCAGGGGATGTGATGGTAAAAACAAAACAAAACAGAAAAACCCAAACAAACAAACAAAAACAAGGAAGGCGCCTCTTCCTTCTTCAGGGTCCCATGACACATACCCTGGTCCCTCCATTGCCTCCCTGGTATAGTCTCATTGACTACCATAGCCTCAAGACAGTCTTCCTGCTAGAGCACACCCTCTCCTAAGGGCAGATCAGGACACATGATTCAATTCTGACCCATCTTTGCCCTAGCTCTGGAGTTCCCCACCTAAGCCATGCCTCTCCTCATCTTATCCTTTCTTCAAATTAGAGAGACTCCAGGAGGACAACAGGTTGGCAGGACTTAAAGCCTTCCCAGATAAGAGAACTCCCTTGCCTTACAGAGGAAAATGTGGCTCCTGAAACTCAAAGATCCTAACTTACCAGTGGTGTCTTCTCTCAAGATGGCCACGCACCATTGATGCCTCTGACACTGTGCTAGGGCAGCAGGATGTATTGGTTGGTCTGTTTCCTATAAAGAATAGCTAGAGGACAGTGAGAGCAAGGCTAACAGGACTATGCCTACAGGGGCTCTCTGTCCTTCTCCCTCAGTTCCTTGAGCTCTGGGATGCAGGCGCACGTGACCTCACACTAGTGCTTCTTACATGAAAGATGTTGCCGAACGGCACATGCACAATAACAGTCCTCCAAAGAGGCCACTGTCCCAGGAAGCTTGCAGTTTGTTAAGCTGCATTGGAAAGGAAGAACTGAGGCTATAGGTGGAAGGAGGGCAGCTAATCAATTGACCTTACGCTGGGGGCATTATCCCAAGTTTACTGGGTTAGGCCCATATAATCACAGCATACCTGAGTAGAAGAGGAACGCAGAAGCAGGAGAACCAGAGACATGAAGAAGCATAAAGAGGACATGGCCCAAACTTCCTAGAAGAGGGAATGGGCCACAGGCTACGAAATGTAGGTAGCCTCTGAAGATGGAAAGTCCTGGAAATTAGTGTTGCCTTAGAGTCCCCCAGGACTGCAGCCCTGCTGAGACTTTGGCTAGTGAGAACCATTTTCAACTTATTTCCTCAAGAATTATGAAGTAATAAATGTGTGTTGTTCATCCCACTACATTTGCATGAATCTGCTACAGCAATGTTAAGAGACACCCAGTGAGTCATGAATACAAGTGGCTGGACTCAGGGAACAGGCTGAGACAGATGAGGAAGAGGCTCACCCTTGCTGAATTATTCATTAACGAACTCATTCATCAAATATTTATGGAGCACCTTCCTAGGTACTAAGGACATGGAGTGAGTAAAAGAACATAAAACTTGCTCTCAGGAGGCTTGATTCCAGCAGAGAGACAGAGGCTTAGCAAGGTAGCTCAACAGGTAAAGATGTCTGCAGCAGAAGCCTGATGACCTGAGTTCAGTCCCCAGGGCTCACATGGAAGAAAGCGAGAAATTACTTCCAGAAGTTATCCTCTGACTTCCACACACATTTTTTTCTGCTCTGATTTTTATTTTTCTGTAAGTCCAGATCCACAGATCCAATGCACTTTTCTGACCTCTTCACGCACTGTGTACACGTGTGTGCACTCACACGCACACACACACACACACACACACACACACGATGATAATAATAATAACAATAACATCTTTTTTAAAACTAAAATGCATTATGTACGGCTAGAGCTAGATGTTAGGGAGAAAGCTGGCAAAGAGAAAGCTGCTGGCCCGGCCTGGACAGAGGCCTTTGTACTCTTCGAGAGCAAGCACTTCCCCCAGGTTCTGTTCTTGTAACTAAGCAATTCTGTGTCCACAGCCTGGATTCTACAAGTCCATCAGGCAAGTCCCCACACATTCTTGGTACAGCCCCCAGCACAGGCTCATTTTCCAGGGAGAGCAACCAGCTGCTGGAGGCAGCAACATCCATGGTGATATGCAGAAAAGACCACCCTGGCCCACTCAGAGAATTCCACCTTTTTTCCCTTTACAGTTGCCCCTAGCCTGAGCCTGCACTTTTATGGGAGCCAACTGTGGGACTCCCAAAGTATCTAAAAGGCCCCTCCATCTTTAGAGGTTTGGACATTCAGAACATTCCAGTTGTTGCCTCTGTCCTGCCCTTTTGAGGGAGATAATTTCCTCAGGATGTTTCTTTCTCGTGTCAACTGGCCAAACCATGCAGTAATTCCAGATTCATCTAGACCAGACCCTGCCAGCTCATTTCCTATGTCCTGTCTCCAATCCCATTTGGACATCAGGATCCCAGAGAGAGACAGAGATACAAAGACAGAGAGAGACAGAGATAGAAAGAGACAGAGAGAGAGAGAGAATGCTGAAGACTGTAGCTCACCCCACCTTGGTCGCCCACTTGGTCCCTCACCCACTGGGCTGCTGCCTTGATGCTCTCGGTCTTGGTGACATCCAGGAGGATGGTCTGCAGCTGGCAGGAGGTATCCTGCTGGAGCTTCTGGGCCCCCTCCACAGTGAGGCAAGCAGCAAGCACTTTCATACCCCTGTCCACCAGCTGTCTGGCCAACAGGTTCCCAAAGCCAGAATCACAGCCAGTAATGAAGACATACTTCTCTGAGAGGTTTCGAACCAGGTTGCAATTTTTGAACCAGCGGTACATAAAAGAGAAGTCTGTAAGGGCCGCCATTGTAGCCGATGTCCAAGATGGGCCCAGGAAATGGCAGGATAGGCTAGTCCTCAGAGCAGAGAAGGAGAGCTGCTGAGAGTTGGCAACAGATGCTGGGCCCCTGGGTGTGCTCCTCTGTAATTTTATAGGTGGATGCATTGCCACAGCAATTAGCTCAGGTGCAAGAAATTCAAGTCCAACCTGAAGCTGTCACCTCTGATAGAGCGACCGCCCTGGCCACGGCTTCCATCACTCCCTGACCTTCCAGGGAGGGATCCAAAAATGGAAAAATTCATAGTAGTGTGAACTCTGGAAAGGGCATGAGAGGCATAAAAGCTCTGATCCGAGCTTTCTCAAGAAAACCCCACCCCAGTTTAACCTCCTACCTTGGGATAAAAACTATCTGCCACACATTCAGAAATGTCAACAAACTTAATTTTTATTATTTGGGGAAAAAAAAGACAAAAATGAGTAATACAAAGCAAACAAAAGCTGATTTGTGACTGCCAAGTTTTAGGAGAAATGAACTGCAGGTTATCAGCCCTTTGAGATCTTTAATTAATTAATTTAGTTCAGTTTTTTGAGACAGGGTCTCCCTTATAGCCCTGGCTGTCCTAGCCTACAACTTGCCAAGTTGACTTAAAATGTGTGAGAGTCCTCCTGCCTCTTTCAGGCTCTGGGATTGTAGGCAAGTGCCTCCGTGACCATCTTCTTTGGAGATGTTGAGTCTCCATCATGAGCAATGATAAAAAAAACAACAGGGTTTTCCCAGGCTGGGTGTGACTCCATTGTGCTGACTCCATGGGAGTCTCTGTAGGGAGGCTGGAGATAGGAGTTTCAATTTTTAAAAAGTAGAAAGACTCAAACAGCTGGGTGTGGTGGTGCAGGTTTGTAATTTCAGCACTTGGGAGGCAGAAATGGGAGGATCAGGTGTTCAAAAGTTATCCTCTGGCTACTTATCTAGCCAGAGGCCAATCTGGACTGCATGAGATCCTGTCTCAAACAAACAATCACCAAAGCCAGCTAGAACCTTGGTGGTGCTAGGGCGGGTGATATTCAAGTTACCAGCAAGGAACCTCCATACTGGAACTCAACCAGTATTCCACCATCCTACCCCCTGGTGACTGGGCCATTGTCGGAGCCCAATACTAAGAACACATCAAGGGCTCTCAGGAAAGGCATCTGTCTCTCCCATTCTAGGTGGTTTGATGAGCTGAAGGCAGGGAGGGTGACAATATAAGGGAGGGGCTATCAAGCCACTGACACAGTGGCTAATTGGGTATGGAAAAAAATAGAGCAGAAGTCAAAACCATTAGAAGGTGTGGGACCAAGGACAGACAAAATAGCAGATGGCAAGAGAAGCCAGGAGGCAAGACACAGCACCAAGAGGGATGTTAGGGAATGGATAGCTCTGACCTGAGGTACTCTAAGAGTGACAGACAAACAGACTCTTGTCTTGTGGGAAGATTTAGGGCAGAGCCTTAGATCCAAGGGAGAAGATTTGTAGGGAGAGCAGTGCCAAGACTTGGAAAACATCAGCAGCAGAACTTAGAGAGAGAGAGTGCTCCCAGACAATAGAGTATAGAGCTCACAGAAAGTTAGGAGGAAAAGCTACTAAAGCAGATGAAAGAAGGAAGCCAGCTGAGTTGAGTCTTGAGGGACACCACCCATCACTGCATAGCTTTCAGGGACTGAGCAATACTGGGATGATCTTGCCTCGACTATCCAGGAGATCAAGATAAGACTGGTCACTGATCTCTTCCCTGTTTAAAGGGTCTGATACACAAACTGGGTGCAAAAGTTCCCTAAAGCAGAGGAGCAGTGGGTGCATCTTTGTGCCCCACTATTTATTGACAATAACCAGCTACACAGGTAAAGAGAGTATCACATCAATTGCTAATTCCACTGGGTGAGAATAAGACCACTACCACAATTTTTGAGCCAAATTTGAAGCAAGTTTTATTAAGTCATGGACGGGATGAGAGACACTGGCCAGATTCACATCCACAATTCCCAGAGAATGGCTGTGAATTACCTCAGTCAGGTACTTATCAAAGCAAAACCCACAGGGGTACACACTTCCCACCTTCCTCTAGTGTGGGGTTCGGGGAAGCATACATACTGACATACTTCCTGTTTGCATATCTCCTGCTGACACGTGATCAAGCATATCCGGTGCAGCTGGGACGATCAATTGTGTTTACTGAAGTGAAGACATGTGGATTGTTATCTTACATGGACAACAAACCCAGTATTCCAGGAAGCTACCTGTCCTTGGGCAGGTGGGGCTTATGGGTTGGAGGCATTTTTGTTTTATAGATCTCTTAACCACAGTAATTTTAACTTAAAACATCAACTTTGGCCTTCACACAATAAAGCTGGGTCATTTTGTACAAAGATATGGGGTTGCTCATTGGCCCATCTCAGAAGGGCAGACCCAAAGCACACAGGCAATGGAAGTGGGCAGTGATAGATGACAAACCATGTACTCCTATCCCCTTGAGGCCATGACACATCCTGTACAGGTTTGGCAAGCATCCCTTAGTCTCTGTTGGCCTCCTGAGTGAGTGATCAAGTAAGTCATGCCCAGGAGAAGGCCATGTTTCTCAAGGGGTGAGCAGGGTCAGGGGCAGCAGATATTCAGTGCATGAACACAGTTATGACTGAGTCACCTGACCCCAGAGAAGAATAATGCAGAACTGTCCTGCAGCAATCCTACTCTGGATCTAGTCAGCTTCTGGGCCTCTCTACTGACTCTGGCCAAGTCAGCGGCTGCCTGGGCTCAAATTTTTAAAATGTAAGCTAGGTGCTGTAGGGCTGCATAGAAGGCTGGAATGCCTCCCACTTTCAAATGCCAGCTCTTCTCACCTAGCTGACACTTGAGGTGTGAGAGTTCAGGCTGCTGTGTCCCTTCTCCAGCTCACTCACTGTCTACAGTAGTCTTCAGAAGTAAAACGACCTCATTTCTTTTAGGTCATTTTCATCCTGTGGGAGGGCAAAGACTGGCCACACGAAAGCTTACCCTAAGGCCGTGGGTGACAAGAGGGGTCCAGGTTGAAGGGCTGAGAGGCATGGAGTCATCACACAGACACTGGGAGTCAGGTGAACATAATCCAAGGGCGAGTAGATGCAGACATGTTTATTCCAGAAGAGAACACATTACATAGCTTTGGGTGACCAATCAGGTTCCTCTACCTCCAGCCTACTATTGGTTGTTCATCTCTGGGCAGACTTCAGCTTCAGCCCAATTACTTCCTTAGTCAAGTCAGTGGAAGTTGCCTCAGGCTCACCTTGAGAGGCCAGAGAATTAAAAATTAGGTTTCTTGAGTTACTGAGCCAAAAGGTTTAAAACATATCAGGCCAGTTGACGTTGCTGCTTCCAAGTTGGCAAATCCAGCCAACTTCAGGGAAGAGCTGACCTTGCTGCTCATTAGAGATACTGTTGCCAGGAAACTGGCCTGGATGGCCCCCATCTTGTTCCAACTTGTAGCTTTGTTCCTGAAAATAGCATAGACTGAGATAATTGCCCCTCTTAACCCAAGGCCGGCCGTTCTCCCCACCCCTCTGCCAAGAGAGAGAACAAAGAAAGCCAGAACCGTTCATTGTTTTGGCACCTTCCCACAGCAAATTGTTTCTGAAATGTTTCTGAATTGTTCCCCTTTTCTGTTTTAACCACTAGAAGCTTGCCAGGCTGGAATCCCCCTGCTTTGGGTGCACTGGGAGGGACTGGGACCTATAAATCACCCACAATCCAGAGCTTGGGGCTCTCAGCTGGATACCAGTGCCTTGTGTCTGTGAAAGTCCCAGCTTGAGCCAAGAATAAAGATTCTCATGTGTTTTACAACAGACTTGACTCCCCGTGGTCTTTTGGGGGTCTCAAAGATCATGCATAACAACCTCAAACTATGGTATCTGTCTTAGGTTACCCCAACTCTTGGGGTCTTACCTGTCATTGGCTACCTGTCTTCCTGGTGACTACTCCCCCAGGATTGCTCTGTCGCATAGGAGGTGTGGAGGGGTAGCAACAGACTGGAGGGAAAAAGAGGGGAGGAGGGGACTACACACTCACTGACAAGCAGCCAAGAAAAAAAGGCAGGCATGACAATTATATGTACAGACTCACATACACTAGGGCTCTCTTTATATCCTAAAGAAAACAAGCATTTACATTATTCATGATTTGTACTAAATTTAAAAAGATCAGTTGTACACTTTCTCCTTAGACAGGAAAAACTGCTGAGGTATACAGTTTAACACCAGACAGGCAAGGCAGGAAACTTGTCAGCTCTCAGCTGAGCCACAAGCTGTGCTCACCTGCCTAGCTTCCCACCTCCTAGACTCATAACCTCATGCAGGTGAGAAACAGGAACCCAGCAGTTATTTTATTATTTTTTTTCTTCCGTGGTTTCCTCCAACCCTCCTAGATCTTAGAAGAATCTGGATAGTACCTTTGATTGCTCCCCAATCCCTACATACATTCCTTCACTCTTTAGAGACTATAGCATCACTCTCTGGTTTGTTGATTTCCAATATGAGGTCTTATTCCTTGGCTGCTCTGCTCTCTTCTCCATCAGAGGTTCAGCCAGCAACCTCATGTCTGGCCAGCAGGATCCCAGAGCTAGAGTCACAGCCCATGATAAAGACATGCTTCTTTGGATGTGGCCACCACCCACCTTTCCCTTTATGAATTCCACAGGTCCACTATAGCCACAAGGTACAGCCATGGGGCTTCACAAAGAACAGACACCAAACTCTGAGTCAAAATGAGCCTGACCACTGTTCAGACTTGAAAGCGAATGAACTGTGGTTGGCAGGGCAGCCCACAGGCTTTTGGCATAAAGTCCTCAGCTTCCTCCCCAATTGCTGGCCTTCAGGAACACGTTATCCTCATCCGACCTCTGCTCTCTGAATTGCTTTTGCTATTATGAGAGACTAAGGTCCTTGGTTATTTCCTGTCCTGCCCCAAAAGAAAATACAACTCATTATTCAGCAAAACCTTGATTTCTCGAACCTCCTATGCC